GCAGTATTCCCTGAGAGAGAGGGCTTCTCCACTCTGGCTCTGCTCAGGTGACCAGGAGATGGGGCCTCTTGTCACCTCCCACTCATCCACGGGTCCCCAGGAGTTCTCTATGCATAATGCAGAACCCCCCCCCCCCCCGCCTCTGCTTCCAGTTCCGTGGCCTTCTGTGCCCACGGGACTGTGTCCCGATTGGGTGGCCTCACCTTGCTCCCTGGCCCTGTGTTTGCTTCCTGGTTGCCCCTCTGTGTAAGTCTCCCTATCCTGAGGAGACTTTCTGCGTCTGTCCCTCTGGCTCGGGGCTGTCCCCACCCTCAGACACCTCTGTTAGGCTATGCTGCTCTCCTGTCCTCATGTGGCTTGCTTTTTTTGTCCCGTCCTTGGCCTTGTGGAGTTTGGGGGCCTTGGCCCACCCTCTAGGGCCTTGATGGCTGTCCTTCCGTTTCTCTGCATTTTTTTCTCCATCTCTGTAATCCTCTCTCCCCACCTCGAGGCCCTTCGCTCAGTCCTCCCCACCAATGCCTCTCATCTCCATGGGCTCCGGTACCCAGGGCTGCCTGGGCTGGGCGGTGGCATGGTGTGGTTGGAGGGGGTGGCCCCGGGGGTGGGCCCTTCATCCAATGCAGCTCGGCTTCTCATCAGCATTCTCCTCGCAGGGCCCCCTAGCCCCGACCAATACGATCTCCCCCTCCCCTGCTCCCCTCCCTCCCTGCTCCCTGTCTTCCTCCTGCCCGCCCCCCTCCCTGCCTCCCTCCCTCCCTCCCTCCATCTCTCCCCTCCACCACCATCACCACCACTCCCCCCGCGCTCCAGGACCCAGCGCGGGCGGGCGGACAGGCGGCGGCCTAGGAGGGGAGAAGGAGCGGCGGCGGCGGGAGTACCGGCGGCAGCCGGGAGGCAGGCCCGGCTGGGGACACAGAGCCGCCGGCGGCTGCTGCTCACACGGGACCAGAGTACTCGGCCAGGCCCTCCCACTGAGAGCGGGCCGCCCCCAGGACACCCCACCCTCCTCCGCCTTCCCGTTCACCTGCTCCTCTCCATCCTCTCCTCCCACCTCATCTCTCCACCTCATCCCCCCCCCCCCCCTTCTTGGTTTCTCCAGGGCTGCCAGTTACCCTGTCCTCGCCAGCCCCTTCACTGCCCGGCCTCTCCTGGCCCCCAAGCATGCTTTTCCCGTGGGGACCGAGGGCTTGAGGACTCCAGGCCCTAGCCTCATCCAGGGCAGGGCCAAGGCTCTGGGGGGAGGGGGGGAAGGGGGCGGCCCCCTCCCCCCCAGCAGGCCCTCCCCTCCCCCACTTCTCCCGATGGCCAGCTTTCTTTTCTCCACCCAGTCCTCACCCCCTGTGCCCCCCCCAGGCCGGCCCGGCTAGGGGAGGGGGCGGGGGCCCTTTCCTGGGCCGGCTTCCCCCTCCCCCGGCTTTGCCTGTGCCCCCCTCCCTTCCGTTTTCACCTTCCTCTCCTCCTTTCCTCCCTCCTTCCCCTCCGTTTGCTCCTTCCCCCTCTCCTCTCTCCCCTTCTCTCCTCCATTTTCTCCTTTCCCCTTCCTCCCCTCCTGGCCCGCCCTTTGCTTTTCCACCTGTCCTTCCTCCCTGCTGCTGGAGAGACACTGTTTTGGATTAGTTGGGGGCCACCGCGGGCGGCGGGGGAGGGGGCCCGGTGGACTGCCCTCTCCCCCCGGCCCCAGCCTCACCAGCACCCAGCGTCGGAGCATCTCTCAGTAGTTCCTCGGGCCTCGAGGGAGCCCAGCCCTCCGTCCCACCAGGATCCGTAAGTGTCTGCAGGGAGGGGATTTGGGCTGGGTCCTGGGTCCTGCAAGGCCACCCTGCCCGGCCAGCAGGCTGGCAAGGGCCCCACAGTCCCTGCTCCCGGTAGATGGCAAGGAACCTGCTCCCCGCTGCTTTGTGCCCTCCCTCCCAACCTCTCATTCTCCACGACCTTTTCTCACCCTTACTCTTGGGCACACACCTCACACCTACCCTCAGTCCGAGCTTCCCAGGGCCCTGTGGGTTGACTGGCCCTGCGGGAACTCTCTTCACAAGGGTCCTGGCTTGTTCCTTCTCCAAGCTTAGGGTCCCAGACCCACACTGGCTCCTGACTTGTGTGTTGGTTTTCTCTCTCTTTTTCTGTCTGTCTCTGTCTCTCTCTCTCTCTCTCTCTGTCCCATTGCACCTCCTGTCTCCTGAAAAATGCCTTTGCATTTCCAAGTCTGCATTTCACCTGTCTCCCTGGCCTACCCGGCTCTGCCCAACTTCTCTTTTCTCCACTGCTCTCTCACCCTGGCTTAGCATCTGTCTCTGTTGGAGATGCTAATTCACATCTAGCCTTCTTCCCACTATCTTTCCATTCTCTGCCTGATCCTCCCCACCTCCGTGTTCATCGCTCACTTTTCAGCTTTGCTCCCCCAGACCCACCTGGGTCCCCAATGTTCCCCTCCATAGCTGTCCCCATCCCCTGCTGTCTCCCCTGCCTTTTGCCCTGGCCCTGCCATCCACTGTCTCAGTCTTCTACTTCTGAACCCTGCTACCTTTTTGCTTCCCTCCCTCCCAGCACCCCTGGGCTGGGGGCTCTGGGATCCTCTGCACTCCTGCAGGCATCACTGAGTTCCTGCATCTGTGCAGGCTGCTCTCCCTTCTGGGGCGTCCACTCTGCCTCAGTTTCCCTCCTGGCTCATCTCTTTAGTCTGTGTGGGCAGCTCTCTCCCTGTGTGCTTCTCCCACAGGCCTTTTCATCCTCGCTTCTGCCCCTCTGGCCTCACTCAGTTCCCTGAAGCTGCTGTGCTGCTTGCCCTTTGCTCACACTCTGTCTGTCTGTCTGTCTATCTGTCTCAGACTGTCTCTCTCGTCAGTTTCTTGGGTTTTTGTTTGTTTGGTTGGTTGATTTTGTTTTGGTTGTTGTTGTTGTTTTTTCTGCTCCCTATCTTTTTCCTTATTTGTTCTGCTCTGGGAGACAGGGTTTCCTGTAGTCCAGGCTAGCCTGGGATTTGCGGTGTAGCTGAACCTGGCTCTGAACCCCTGATCCCACCTCTGCCTGCTGGCCACTAGCCTTACAGCTGTGTCACCATGCCCTGCTCTTCTTGCGGTTCAGCCCCTCTCTCCTGCTTGCCTCCCGTCCTAGCTAATGTCTCCAACCTGTGGGGCCTGGTCCCCTCTCCTCAGCTCCCCTCTGTGGCCGGGGCTGTTTCTATCTGTTCCTGCCTGCTGTGAGTCTCGGGGTCTGTGTGTCCTGGGCCTGCCTGCTCCCTGTTCCTTCTTGCGTCCCTCATCTGCTCCTTTCATAGCTCTTTGTTTCTGAGACAGGGTCCAACTCTGTAGTGCAGGGATCACTGTACAGCGTAGACTAGCCTCACGCTCTCCGTGACTCCCCGGCCTCCAGAGTGAAGGAACTGCATCCTGGTATGGATGTCTGACTACCGTGTGTCTCCCTCTCACCTCCACACTCAGCCGTAGTCACCTTCAGGGCTGGCTTCCTGTACACACTTCCCAGCACCTGTGTGTCACAGCGGCCCACAGTCTGTCTGCACAATGCCTCCATCCACTTTGCCCACCTGTCTGCCACCTGTAGGGCCCTGCCCTCTGCCCTCTCAGCCTTCTCTGATCAGTAGTCCCTGAACCCCTTTGTTCCCAGTGTCCTAGGGTAACCCCCTCCTGCCCTTCCCCTTGAGAACTCTCCTTCTAGCTCTCCCAGAATTCCCTGCTCCTCCCTCCTGGTCAGGCCTCCACACTAGAGGTAAATGGCAGTCTGCAGCCAGCAGTCTGTTGAACCCAAAGGCTGAGCGGCCTGGGGAGGACTTTCCAAGGTCACCCGGGAAGTAGGGGCACCTGCGAGACTGATGAGCCTCCCTTTCTCCTTGGGCCTTGCGTGTGATGTGCCCTTCCTCAGGATTGCCACCCTGGCCTGGTGCCAGCTGGAGCCCCTCCCCGGGGCTGGTGGGGACTCCACACTGCTCCAGTGCCAGGGATCCGTGTGCACACCTGGAAAACACACCCCGCCCAGCGCTTGTGCGGCCAACAGCCGGAGTACCCACAGCACACCTGGGCACCCCGAGCCGGGGCTGTGAGGAGCCGTGTACCAGCCTCCCTCAGCGCCCCAGAGCAGGGTGCAGGCCGCGCCTGAGCAGCCGCCTCTTTCTTGCAGAAAGTCTTCCAGCGTTCCCCTCTCCCTGCTGGACTCTCACTGGCCCTATGAGTCAGTTTGTGCCTCTCCCTGTATCTGTCCTCACCCACACCCACCCACGAATAGCCCCTGTCTGGTCCTCATCCCTCTCTCTGGCATCTGTCCTTTTATCTCCACACCGTCCTGCGCCGTCTCTTTCCCCATCTCTCTCCCAGGCCTACCTCTAACTTCCTTCAGCGCACTTCCTTGCTTTTCCCTGTCGTCAGCTGTTCTGTCATCTTTCCATTCTTTTGTGTCTGTCTGTTTCCCCTTCCTTTCTCGTTTTCTGAGTCCCTGTGTCTTTCCTTTTTCACTTCTCATCAGATACTCTTTCTGTTTCCTCCTTTCTCTTCTGTGCTGTCTTTTCAAGTTCTTTGCTATGTTGATTTTCCTCCCAGCTTCCCTGCCTTCCTCCCTCCCTACCCCTCACCAAGTTTCCTAATTTTCAGATAGTTTCACCTATCAGACCTTGGGTGCCCAGACCTCTCTCCCATGGGATTGTGGGAACCAGGGACATCAGGAAGGTGGCAAGTGAGGCTTGGGATAGGGTTGCCTAGCAACCACTGCATCCTCTCCAGCCAGTTTCTGTTGCCTAGTAACGGCTGCCTGCCCAGAGACAGGGGCGGGACTGGGGTGGTGGCAGCACTTCCCAGTTTCCTGTTGGGGTGGGGCTGGTCCTCAGAATCACTCCTACTTGAAATTTCTAGCAGTGCCTGTCCTATCAGTGACCGCTGACCTTTCCATCTTCCAGAGCTCAGGACTATGCACTTGCTGTCCCCAGCGAGCTGGGCCTTTCAGAACTGTGGATTCCTCCTCAGTAATGACTGGGAGGACTATGCTTGCCACCCCATCCAGCAGCTTCTCTAAGAGATGCTGTCCCCTCACACCAGCCACCCGTCTTGGGGCCGGGGTGTCTCTCTGCAGGTGGCGAGTGGGGGCCGCGGCAGCTGCATCCCCATGAGGAGGGGAGGAAGATGCCGGCTGAGCTGCTGCTGCTGCTGATAGTTGCCTTCGCCAACCCCAGCTGCCAGGTGCTGTCATCACTGCGCATGGGTGAGGCCCCAGCTCCTCAGAAACTCCCCTCCAGACCCGTCCTGGGAACTCAGGCATACTAGTACCAAGGTGCTCAGGTCGCCAGTTCTCCCCTCTGGACCCAGGAGTCCGGGACCCTGCTAGCCAGTCTCAGATCCGGGAGTCTAGACCTCCAGCCTTTGGTCTCACATCCAAAGCCCCACAGCCACCCTTTCTCAGGCCGTAGGCATCTGGCCCCTCCCAACTCCTGTCTCCTCTCAGCTGCAATCCTGGATGACCAGACCGTGTGTGGCCGTGGGGAGCGTCTGGCTCTGGCCCTGGCCCGGGAGCAGATCAACGGGATCATCGAGGTCCCCGCCAAGGCCCGGGTGGAAGTCGACATCTTTGAGCTGCAGCGGGACAGCCAGTACGAGACCACGGACACCAGTGAGCGGGGCGTCGGGGCGTCGGGGGGTGTCCTCCCTCAGTCCCTCCACCCTGGCCTTCTCAGCTCAGCCTGTGCTCCTTTGCTCACACCTGCCCGCTGCCACCGAGCTGGGCCGCCGCTGGGTTTAGAGGCCCAGGCCCTGAGGCGCAGGCTTTATAAATCCCGGTGGGTCAGGTAGAGCAGCTGCGGGTGAGCAGGAGGCGGAGTGCGGCACTGTGCGCCCGCAGAGCAGGCTTGCCCCGTGGGAGGGCCGCAGAGGTGCCGGCTGATGCTCATTTGGACCCGTGAATGGTAGTTCCTGCTCTCCTAGCTTGCTTTTTTCAGCCGTGATAAAACAGTGACCAAAACCAACTTGGGGAAGCAAGGGTTTAAGTCTGCAGGTTATGTAGGCCATGATGGAGGGAAACCAGGGCAGGAACTCCGGGCAGGAACCTGGAGGCAGGACCTGCAGCAGAACTGTGGAGGAGCACTGCTCACTGGCCTGTTCCTCCTGGCTTGCTCAACCCGCTTTCCTGTAGATGCCCACCATCGTCTTCCCAGGGTTAGCGCCACCCACGGCAGGGTGAGCCCTCCCACTTCAGTCCCACAGGCCAGTCTGCTGCAAGAGCTTCCTCAGTGAGGGGCCCCTCCCAGATGGCCGGGCTTTACATCAAGTTGACAAAAGCTCGCTCGAAGCTCTTTGCAGCGGTCTGCATTAAGACACCTTTTAGCTGGGCAGTCTTGGCTCATACCTTTAATCCCAAGGCTTGGGAGGAAGAGGCCGGTGGATCTCTGTGAGCTGGAGGCCAGCCTGATCTACAAAGTGAGTTCCAGGACAGCCAAGGCTACACAGAGAAACCCTGTCTCAGAAAAACCAAACGAAAACAAAAACACAAGACATGTTTTATACTGGGCATGCTGGCTCACACCTGTAGTCTGAGCGCTTGGAAGGCGGGGGCAGGAGAGCTCTGTGAATGTGAAGTCAATCTTGACTACATAGTAAGTTTCAGGCCAACCTGAGGCATACATACAGAGTAAAATCCTGCCTGAAAAACCCAGCCCAGCCCAAGCCCAACCAGCAGACATTTTAAGCCTGAGATGAGCTCACTTAGCATTCCTAACAGGGGGCTTTGACTCCAAGCACAGTGAGTAAACAGAGGTGTGAACAGTTTTCTTCCCCACCGGCCTTATCCTGAGTGTTGTAGACTGTGGGTTTCAGGCCTCCAGCAGGGAGAATGGAATGGGCTGCTTTTCAGGCTTTCGACTGGTGCATCACAGTGTGGAGGAGCTGAGACGGAGGCTAAAGAGGCGGGGGATAGAGCAGGCATGCCAAGGAACAGGGTGTGGGTGAGGCCGTCTTGACCAGCTGGAGTCCGTGTGCTTAAGGGGACCCTGAGAATACAGCCAGGTCAAAGGAACGCGGGACCTGTTAAAAAGAGGCCCCTGGCAGGCCTGCAGAGGAGCTGGACTCAGCCATTCCCGAAACAGTGCTGGGGAACCAGGAGCTCCTAGACAGAGCCACTTCTGAAGTTAGTCCCTAACCCTTGCAGTGGTGTGACCTCATTTGCGTCCTCATCCTTCCTGTGTCTGTGCGCACGGTCTAAGCTTTCTGACTAGCCCCAGCCACGCTGTTCTCCGAACCCATCCTGACTTTCTGTCGTGCCACCGATAGCATGAAGATGGACCACCACATCTCAACGCAAGCTTGTTCCTTCTGTGCCCTCTGTGCTGAAGGCCCCACCATTTGCACAGGGAGGCCTGAAATGGTCCTTGTTTTCTGTTTCTCTCCCAAGAGCCATTAACCCTGCCTCTTATTTGTCTCCAGATTCATTTTCTCTCCATCTCCCACCCATCCTCTGTACCCTGCCTACATCAGGATGCTGGCCAATCCCCTCCTTCACCACACATCAGTTTCAGGGCCGAGTTTCCCCTGAGGGCACCGGCTTGGAGGGAGGGGAAGCTCCCTCCTGGTTTGCAGTTCAAAGGAGGCTCACAGAGCTGGGCGTGGGGGTGCGGGCCTGTAGGAGGCCCAGGAAGAGGAGTACAAGCCCAGGGTAGTCCTGTCTCCATACGAAGATCCAAGGTAGCCTGGGCAATGTGGCGAGACCTTCCCTAAGCACGCGCAGATACAGGTGCACGCGCACACACACACACACACACACACGCTTTCCCGTGTTCCTCCTGACTTGGCCTGTCTCTCTGTGGCTGTTCCCTGGCTCCCTGTGTCTGAGCAGGCCAAGCGGCTGGTCCTCTGGAATCCAGGCTGCTGGAGGAGTGTCCCACATCTCTGAGCTTCTGGGTCCCTCCCTGGACCAGGCAGTCTCCTGAGAGGGTGGTGGGAGCAGAGCCCCTGACTCGAGTTTCCTTCCCACCCTTCACAGTGTGTCAGATCCTGCCCAAGGGGGTCGTGTCTGTCCTGGGACCTTCCTCCAGCCCAGCTTCTGCCTCCACCGTGAGCCATATCTGTGGGGAGAAGGAGGTGAGGGGTTGTGATTGGGGGGGACTGGGGGGGGAGACTTGGACCCCTGGCAAGCAACGTCTCCCTTCTGTCCAGATCCCCCATATCAAGGTGGGTCCTGAGGAGACGCCCCGCCTTCAGTACCTTCGGTTCGCATCTGTCAGCCTGTACCCCAGTAACGAAGACGTCAGCCTGGCCGTCTCTCGAATCCTCAAGTCCTTTAACTACCCGTCGGCCAGCCTCATCTGCGCCAAGGCTGAGTGTGAGGGAGAACCTCCTGTTCTTTTCCCGTTCTTTCTAGCCACCCCTTCCCTGGAGCCTGAGTGTGCCACCCTCCCCTGGTCCCACCGTGAGAGCTGGGACACTGGGTTCCATAGACCAGTTCTTGTCCCAGAGAGACCCCTGCGATTCACTGGCAGAGAACTCCCTTTGCCCAGCTCTCACCAGGCGTGCAGGGTGGCTGTGGGCAGTGCTGGCACCTAACTTTTCTACACGTATTATTGATTTTCAGATAGTGTAGGTTTTCTTTGGCATGTTCGTATGTATTTATCATGTCATTTTGCTTGTAATTGCCCCTTCATACAACTCCTGGTCTAGGGGAGGCCTCAGGCCACTGAGGACTTGGGACCCCACAGTGGTGTGGGCTGCCAGGACATGTGTGGGGCCTTTGGAAGGGGTCCTGACCCCTGACTCTAGGAGGCCTGGAGCCCGTATCTGAGCGTGCCCCCCTAAGCTGACTGTGAAGTGCTGGGCGAGTGTGTTCTTCTGGAGGGCTGCTTGGTGGGACAGACAGGAGGCCTCGGAGTGCAGCCCCAGGAGTGCTGAGGCTGAGTGCGGAACAGGGGCGCTGGGGCCGGCCGAGCCGCAGCAGGGCGAGGCTGCACGGCCAGATCCCTGTAGTGGAGGTGTCGGCCTGCGTAGGGACATGTGTGTCCGGAGAGACCAGACGAGCCGTGGGTTAGGTGAGAGGGTGCGGGTGGGTGTGGGGCCAGGCCTCCTCACAGGGAGGAGCGAATGGGCGGCAGCCTGTGTAGGCCTCCATAGAGAGGAGGAGAGCACGCGGGCTTCAGGTGTGAGTTCCCTGAGATGGTCATGGGCGGTGGTCTGCGGCGGGCTGTGAGTGTGCAGGGGGGTACTGAGCTTTGGAACTTCTGGAAGGGATTCATCTTTTTGGAGGTCCTTACTGAACACCTGCTGGGTGTCAGACTTGCGTTAGGACAGCTGTGAGCGAGACAGTGTCCTTGTCAAACCTCCTTTCCAATGACAGAAGTCAGGCAAAGCTCTTATCTACTCTGTTCTCTGGAGAAGGAGCAAGGTCATTCAGGTTGGAGTGGGGGTAGGGGCGGTAGTGGGTGTGGGCCTCTTAGGGAGCTGGGGCAGGTCAGAGGTCAGCCATGAAGGAGCCTGGGGAAACAGGGTCCCAGGGAGGGAGCAGCCAGGCTAAGGCCACAGGACCAGAAGGCTGACTGCGAGACGAGGGGCCCTCGCAGATGAGACCTTGGCACAGAGCAGGGCACACCCGCTTCCACCGCTGGCTGCTTGTGGGGAGCACACTCAGCACAGGCATGGCCAGTGCAGGAGGCGAGAGAGGGCAGTGGCTTATGCCAGGGTGGCGGCCATGGCACAGCTTCATAGGCTCTGATGGCTTAGGGAGAGAAAGAGAAGAACCCAGGCTGCGGGCAGGGTTCTGGGCAGAGCGGCTGGCACGTGGCGACCTGTCACCTGAAGGAGGGAGACAGGCTGGGAAAGCGTCACTGCTGTGTCAGACATTCCCGGGAGCTTTCTTAGAGGGGGTTTTGCTTGGGGGTCCCTCAAAGAACTAAGTCCCCAAGCCCAGTGTCCCAAGAGCACCTGCTGTTTTCTGAGCATGCCCCCCCTGCTGGGAGAGGGGAAGGCAGTTCTGAGGGCCGTGTCCGGGTGGGCAGAAGGAAGCGCTCTAACGTGGGCCTGGCCCTCCCTCAGGCCTGCTGCGGTTAGAAGAATTGGTGCGAGGTTTCCTCATCTCGAAGGAGACGCTCTCCGTGCGGATGCTGGACGACAGCCGGGACCCCACGCCGCTGCTCAAGGAGATCCGCGACGACAAAGTGTCCACCATCATCATCGATGCCAACGCATCCATCTCCCACCTTGTCCTCCGTAAGGTGGGCCCCTCCTCTTCTCCACAGAACCTGGGGGCCAGATACCTCAGCGGTGGGAAGCGGGCTCCGAGGGGTCGAGTGACCTGGGATCAGTAGGGAGGCCCTACCTCTCGGTGTGTGAGGGTGATGAGCCTGCAGCAGGGAAAGTCCTTGGAGCCTCGTGGGCCCAGAGGAAACGTCTGCGTCATCACTCTTTAGGACTGTTGTTGCTGTGGTTTTATTTCTTTTTCAAAAGATTTATTGTTTCTCATTATGTGTGTGTGGGGGGGTGGTTCTGTGTGTGTGAGTGCTGATGCCTCTGGAGGCCAGAGCTGTGGGGTTCCCCTGGAACTGGAGTTACAGGAAGCAGTGAGCCACGTGGGTGCTGGGAATTGAACTCGGGTCCTCTGCAGAGCCAGTGCACGCTCCTAACCGCAGAGCCACCTCTCTAGCTCCTGAGTTTGAGCTCTCTCTGCGGGTATTCAGGCTGACCTCACATTAGAGAACTTGGAGCTCTGTGTTGAGGGCTTCAAACATGGCCTGAACCGGGGCCTCCCGCCCCTCTATGTGGGGCAGATATTTTGAACATTGTGGACGTAGACGCTGGGATCCCCGAGGCCCCGTGCACCAGGACCTCTCCCCGAGGCCTAGCACATTCCATCCGTCAGTGGGCCAAGCTCATTAATCATTCCTTCCCTTCCCTGCACTTAATTTTTCTTCATAATCAAATTTGTATTATTTTTCTCCGTTTGTTTTTCATTTATTTTCCTTTTAATTAAAACCATGTGTCACTGCTGACTGCAGCCTGCAGGCGGAAGTGTTGGGCAGGCTCTCGAGGGTAGAGAGAGGACTTAGGGAAGAGGCTCTGCGTGGACAGGCCGCCTGGGCAGAGATCTCGGCCTCTCCTGTGCAACTGTGCATCAGGGTGTGAGCGTCAGTGCACACTGTCTCCGTGCCCGTGTGTGTGTGGGTGTGTGTGTGTGTGTGTGTGTCAGTGCACACTGTCTCCGTGCCCGTGGGGGTGTGTGTGTGTGTGTGTGTGTGAGAGTCAGTGCACACTGTCTCCGTGCCCGTGGGTGTGTGTGTGTGTGTGTGTGTGTGTCAGTGCACACTGTCTCCGTGCCCGT